CCCTACAAAAGCCAGACGCCTGGGCCCAGCCACCAGGGCAGAGCCTGCTCGGGAAAGCAGCGTGTGGTGGGGCAGGCTCTGAGCTCATGGTCCCCAGATCAGCCCCGGAGAGGGACGTTCTTCCCCTGGGGTGTGGGAAAGGTGACTTTGGAGGACGTGACCTCTCCAAGCCAATAACACCACTCTGAGGGTCCCGGGAGATGGGCAGACTCTGGCTAAAAAGGCCAGGTCTAAAAACCAACCAGTCAAAATACTGGCCGCTAGAATCATCCAGAACACAGAGACGCATGGGACCATCTTGCACAAGATAAAAACAGAAAATCCTCAAGTCAGCTTCCAACTCTGTGATCTCAACTTTCTTGGGAACTCACTGGGCCTGAGAATGGGGTGCGCAATGTGGGGGGAAAAGTTCACATCTATAAAAAGGACTCACAAATCTTGCCCCACCTGCTTATCAGGCACTTAATTTGAGGACTCACTGAGAGACTGGATATGAAAGGTTTATGGAAACTGCACCTTCGTGCATAGTGAGGAAGATTATTGTTGCTGTCAGGTTTACTGTTGTCATCAAAACCGTAATGACTGCTACCACAGATAGGGAAACTGAGGCCCAGAAAAAAGTGACTTGCTCAACAGGACAAAGCCAGGACTCAAACTCTCTGACTCCAAGGCTAGGAACTGCTCCCCACACCGGCTCGTTCAGTGAAAGTGACCACAGGACCCCACCCAGGCCACAAAGCCATAGAGACATAAACTCAGCTCCATCCGCTCACAAAAGGAAAAAGCAGCCAAGCCTTGCAGCCAGCCCAAGGCCCCTTCCCTGGCACCACCACCTTGCCACTGGGGGCTCACAAGGCAAGGCCAGAGAACATCCACCCCCCAGAGAGCAGGCATAAGGAGGCTCAAGGAACCTGTACCCTTGACACACATCCCTTCCCAGTCTGCGGCCTCTGGCTCAGCCATCATTTGTCCAAAGTGATTGGGAACCGGGCTCGAGGGTATGTCATTCATAGTCCAGTGCCTGTGCGTGTGCAGGGCAGCCCCGCAGCCTCACCTTCCATCGCTCCTCATTACGGCGCATTACCAGTAGGTGAAGCAGATTAACCAGAAAGCACTGAGTCAGTCATTATCCGCCACGCACATCGCCTGCAGCCCCTCCTCGGAGCCCACACAGCCCGAGACAGGCCCGCTGTCATGCCCGCGCCTTTCTGAAGGACACGGCTGTAAACGGAGTCCTCAGACCATCTGTAAGTCAGGCCTCCACCCCCTCGGACCCCTATCCTTCCATGAGCTCATCAGACATGTCCTTTAAGACCCCCATCCTCGGTTGCCTCCTCCAGACATGCCCTTTCTGGTCCTTCTTTGGTCTGACACTTCATCAGGACCCACCGAACCCTCTCTCAAGTTTCTGAGTCTGTGTCACACTGTCCCAGTGAGACTGGGCAGAGCCGATGTCTGACTCATCCCTCCATCTGCGAGTGCCCGGCACTGGGCCAGGCTCACAGCCCACGTGCAAGAAGTACGTTAGCTAAGGGAGCACGTGAGCATCTGAGCACGTGAGTGAATGAGTACATGGATGGCTCTGGGCTCCTCTGCTTCAGAAGCTGTACCGTCTCGGCTCAGTCCTGGGC